CTCTCAAATATGTGACCCGGAGTGTTGTATATATATATATATATATATATATATATATATATATAAATGAATGTCAAACTATCGCCTCATATAGGCTGTGTACTCCGCCATAATTACTCTGTTGGATGACTCCAAGAAACCACTTTACTACCAAGCTCGGACTATATATTTCACATGGTGAACGAACGAGTGCCTTGAAGAGTCTTGTTCGCCCAAACGAGTACTAAATGGTGTTGACCCAGAGACGTACGGTCCAGGACATAAACCTCAAAAATCTGTTGGATGACTCCAAGAAACCACTTTACTACCAAGCTCGGACTATATATTTCACATGGTAAAGGAACGAGTGCCTTGAAGAGTCTTGTTCGCCCAAACGAGTACTAAATGGTGTTGACCCAGAGACGTACGGTCCAGGACATAAAAACCCCTCAAAAATCAACTCATTCGCGTTGGTAACTGCCATCCATCCAGCAGAGAACCCCGGAGGAGACGGACAAATGGTTTGTGAAAAATTGAAATTGTTCAGCTGTAGCACCCTTTCGGTGCCTAGCTGCCACCGGAAGGTTGCAAAAGGGCTGAGATACTGCCAAGTCGCCCAAACCTAGCCCAAACCAAACAAGCCAGTCATCAAAGCTACTGCCTCCAGCGCTTATCCGTTTCACTCCCTGTAAAATTGGGCAGGCAGGACATCTTAGCGTCAATGAACTGGTTGGGCGATGACCATGGTGAACTTTATTGAAGCGGGTCGCAATTATTGTGATTTGGTTAGTGGGTTACGACTGGAAAATAGAGTGGCTGACTTGTGTCTCTGTCTCATCTGCCACGTAATCTTTCCTTGAACATGTTGCAGTCTAAAAGAGAAAACAGTGTGGATTCAGTCTGATCCGATTGATGCGTTTATTTGTCAGCCACAATGAAATAAATGGTGGGCGGAAAGTGCATTTCTCGCCAGCCGAGACAAGAGGATTGGTGCGTAGAAATACCCACTCCCTGGATACAGTGATAGTCAAAATCAGCAGTATCATCATCATCGACAGCACAGCATCAGTGTTCAAGATAGTTTATTTGGAAAGCTTTTGGCGAAGGAGAGAATGAAGTAGCATGCGCCTTCAGGCATTCTTTCAGACACTTCGGATAGGAACTGACAAAACGAAAGCCACTGAAATCGAGTAGCATCCCTATCTTGCAGCTTGTATAATCGTGCACAGAGGGGATCACATGCACCCCATCGTGGTAGGTGTTTTTTACCGTCAGTGCTTAGACATTTCGTAATGGACTTTACGTTCGATTACCAGGTCAAACGATGGCCACCCCTCTGTCTGGGCCAATCTGAGTTGGGCACGGAAAACTGCTCATTTGGCAAACAATCATTCGGTAAATGCACTACGAGTCCCATCTACCACAGCTAAGGATGCTGGGCATGCCTTTCGATTGAAATCCTCATTGCACAGCCGGACACTCATTTTCTGATAAACTTGTTTCGGATTCGCCTGCGCAAGCTTGCCATTCATTGTGACGAAATTCCCAAAGTAGTGAGTCTGGAATGTAGGATGTCCAGCACTATAAATTCAGCAGAGATTAAGCAGTTTAAAAAGAAGGCATTCTGGCAAACTGGATGAACTCTCGTTCTTTTGTACTAACCCAACCATAAACGAACACCATGTGCATTCTGTCTAATCGCTTTTGGAATCACAAGGGGATTTATTCATCCACTTTTCTTGTTTCGCTGTCTAGACAGGCAGGTGATGATTTGATGCAGATATGACTTGTATCATGGCGTTCTGGGAAGGGCAAAGGAATATGCTCGGTGTTTTTTTGCCGCATACGCTTCGATGTACACTAAAGTGGAACATCAGAGAGACTTATTGAAACAGGTCTTCGCCTTTAGGTTGTCGAAACTAAGTCAGCCATCAGAGACGTTTAAACAGTTTTGTTCTTCATTTTCGACACGGCCGACACAGTCGGATACGTGGCTATCTGGTCTGCACAATTCTCAGTTTAAAGTAGATGACGGACTATGTTTGAAGACTCTATTGTCAAGTGTTTTAGAGGTGCTCTGATTATCTACTTCCAATTTGCCTCGTAATTCTTCCCAAGTGCTTGGCCAATCCGTTTAAATGCAAAACGATAAACAAGATCAGACTTGGCGCAGCAAATCGGCAGCTGTTTAACTGTAATTGGAATTGGGAATTGGTGGACTTCCTCATTACAGTAGACAGTTCAGAAGTCCATTGAATTGAATTGAAGGAATGGATCGGATGGGCCAGTTAGAAACATCGTGATGTATTCTAATAATGCGATGAAAGCCCGAATGTGTCAGGCTTCTTTTGTTCATACTAGCTGATGAGCGAAATTCGCGCCACAGGGAACCTATTGACAGTTAAAATATCTAATCGTTGTATTTCGATATTTTATTTAACAAAAAACCAGTACCTCGGAAGCAATTGTTCTAATTCAGTAATTCTCAAGCGGACCGTGAACAACGTTTGCAAACTTTATATTTATCTCGGCAGCACTGGAATAGAGTCTTCGCCGTGCAACTTAGCTTAAACGTAACGCACTACCCATAAGATTGTCGAAAACTCTTCGACATCCAAAGACCTGTTCCGTCCTTCTTTGGGTTCATCATGTAGGCGCATTCCTCGAGTTCCTATCAGCGTTATTTTACATGAAATCAAATGGGATACAATTCGATAGCTGCTCTCATTTGCACAGGAGGCTTGTTTTGGAAGGAGACCAAAATAAATTCAGTTGAACATCTCGCTTAAGTTATGTTCTCCTTCGTTCTTTCGGACATATCGCTTGTGAACCGTCCAAGTATTTTCAGCAACCTAGTCAGTGGTACGTCACGTCTAGACAGTGTACTGTGATATATCATGTTGTATCAAGTAAAATATGACGAGGAGTGACGCAGCACATCCAGTTGAAGGAAACCACCAAAAACGAGAGGTTTAGCTGCATTCAGCTAGGTCTCCTGTCAAAACCAAATTCTTGTACAAATGTGAGTGGTCGCTGAACGTCAAAACCTATTCATATTAGCAAAATCATGCGATGTCAGCATTGTTCCCGAAGTTGTAATCGATTAATTATTAACTAGCTCACTTTTCAAATCCTAGCCGCGTGATCTGCACGCACTACTTGCCTGTTCTCCGGGGCAGACACACAACTGAATGATGGACAGGATTCCATAAATGAGTGCGGCTCAATGCCAAAAGAAACCATGGTAAAGGGACTTCAGGCAGCAAACTTTCGCGTGTTAAACCCAGAACAGTTACATAGTGGTATGATCCTCAAAAGTAAAAACCCTAACATGACATCAGACTCATGCACGGCTGACCACGCAAGTAACGTCATCGAAACAGACAATTCTGATAAACTTACCAGAAAACCACCAACTGCCTTTGTCCATTCGGACGACTGGAGTCTCTATTTGAGGGTGTGCTGTCAGCTTCGCCAGATCCGCAGTAACTATGGGTGCACAGAATTGGAAGCTCAAAAACTGATTCGTACCGGTCGACGACGCAGTCAGGCCTGCATACTTCGATTAATTTTTGCTTTCAACCACCTGTATTCGGAATATAGCCGAGTAGTTTTCACATTGAATAACTTACAAAATCAAGACCATTGCTTACTCAACACAGCCTTATCCAGAAGCTACTCGGGACTTTCAACTAGTCACACTGTCCAGGATTCAACCAATCATGGCGACACGAATGTCTGCAAAAACAATCCTGTTTTTAAGGGACAAGACAGTAAACTCCAAGATGTCTTGGAGAAAGATAGAGCGTTTTATCCTGAACAACATGAAGAGCAACGTTCAGGTACTGTGGTACCGGTAACCCACTCACTGACTGCGGTAAATACCACTTCGACGTCACTACCTACCAACTACTCCCTCATGTCACATACTGTGCAAGAATTTACAGAAACCCCACTGCAATCTACACAATCCGGCCTCAGTCAAACATCAACACCAGCCTGTTTTCAATGGTGTCGAAAACATTCTGGAAAACGCCGTCCCTTGATGAGCAGAAACCGCTCATATGAAGCGCTGAAAGTTTCCAGAGCTATCGAAACTTCAAAGAATTTTTCAAACAAACACAGACCCTCAGAGTTAGATTCATATGACTACTTTGATCAAATTAAGCGCAGACCGACAAACAAAAGCCTCGATATTTTCCAGGTCGCTAGTCATCAATGGCGTATTGAGCATCGCACACAACTGTCCTCCAAGAATACTGGCTCACAAACTCAGCACGTTTCGAACAAAAGAACGGAATTTATTCGATTACCAATAGCACTTGAACTAATTCTTCCTCGTATGCAAAAACAGATAGAAACTGTTATGATTAGTTGCCAGCACGTCTATGATCCACTCGAAGTGGCTTCCGAACTTAGACAAATGAACTACGACACAGAAGCCTGCATAGCCTACTTTCACAAAACGCGTCCTCTGCGTGATATCATACACGAATTTCTGTCAGACAAAGATCCTTTTGATAGAAACGCACAGCACATTCGTTCATCAAGACAGCCTAAAACCGAACAGACTATTCCAAGCAGTTTACAGACCTTCCTGCTGGGAATTCAGTCTTGCGTGGTTGAGTTAAAACAGGCCAAACAAGATGTGTCACACAAGCTTTGTCGTCTGCGGGCGTTTGTGTACGATACAACTGCTTCTGTGGAGCGAGCGTTGAAGGAAAAACTTGTGAATTATTTATTCGAAGCCCAGAAGTTTGACAAAATAATTCCATTACGAAACGGTGACCTAGCGCTCTCTGAACTGAGCAAGCTTGTTCAAGAAAATCAGTCACTGAAGCAGACCCTTCAAATAGAAGAGGATCGACGAAAAAATATGTTTAATATGATGCAAGAATATTTTGGCAATGTCCGAGTTTACTGTCGATGTAGGGGTATTCCAAAGGCGAAATCCTGCTTAGAAGTCCATTCACTGGATACGGTTGTTCTAATGACCGGTTCGGATGCGGCCGCAGAACAGTATAAATTCGACAGAGTCTTTGATACTAACGCCAGTCAAACGGAGGTTTATAAAGAACTCTCTCCTTTCGTTTCTTCGTTTCTTGATGGCTATAATGTATGCTTTCTAACATACGGGAGTGAAGCAAGTGGAAAGACTTACACTCTTCTTGGGGGACCCGATTATAAACCCAGCACGGAAGGGATCGCTCAGCGTGCTTTGCGAACAGTGTTGTCGGAAAAGACAACTAGGAGGAGTGAATGGGAGTACCAGCTACTCGTGTCTGTGGTAGAAGTTTACAACGATACTTTGACGGACATTTTGACAAATGAAAATGGAATTCACCTCCATATTGAGTCTGGTCCAGACCATATGATGGATGACATACACCGCCAGCTAATTGAGAAGGATTCTGACATAGATGACCTACTAGCTTTATGCCGAACACGGAGAAGAGTAGGTCGTACAGCCCTAAATCTATGCTCCTCTCGCTCCCATCTGATCATATTTGCCCAGCTAAATGCTCGAAGCCGTATTCATGATACCAGTCTGTCTAGTATCTTGGCTCTGTGTGATCTGGCTGGCTTTGAGGATGTCATCAAGGCAGATACACTTGGTGACCCGATCCTGGCGAAAGAAGCAGGCTATATTAATCGATCCCTGACAGCACTCAACCGTGTCTTCATGTCACTGCGCTCTCAGGATCCAACGACTGTGTCCTACCGAGACTCTAAACTGACCTACCTGTTGAAGCCCTTTTTTAGCTCTTCGGGTAAATGCATCCTCATTGTCACCGTACGTACGGACCGAGTTAACTTGGCCTCAACTCAGAGTACTCTGCGTTTCGGACGGGAATCAAGAGGAGTCAGTTTAGGAAGGGCACGTCGGCAGTTGAATTTGGACAAGATTATGAATGAGCTCCGAAGCACATGAACCAGAAATCACCTCTTCAGTTTCCTTCGACAGATTGACTGTCGACGCATCAGATGGCGAGTTAGCGAAACGACCGAAGATTGCCATGGGTGCTTCCTGTAAATAATCCATTTCAGCCATCTCAACTGCATTCGCGGTGATGGGAGAAAGATAGACTGGAACTATTTGGTGTTTAAAATTTTGCCACAAAAATAAAAACATACACCATTGGTTCCATAAAATGCCTTTGAGACTATCCCGAAATTCATCGTTAGTTTTACAAAAGCGCACGATTCAGTCCCCTATAGGTCGTCATGGTAAGATCAAATGCAAAGGCTAAAGGTGACGAATTTTCCAGGTTAAAAGTTCAAAATGCTTAAAGGGTCTGTTTGCTCCGGTTATGAACAACCTTTACAGTATAGGATGAAGTATGGAGGCGAAGAGTTTGACTTTATCAGTTACAGAGCTTGGGTGGATGGATGTAACTCAGATACATTTCGATAAACTCACAGGCTTTGTTTCTTAAAATATGTTCACCGTCAGGTTCATTTATTATCCTTTCAGGGCAAGCATAGTTGGATAACATTAGTCGCAAAACTATTGAGTATTTCAATCTCAAATTTCGCACAAGTGGATGGTTGGCAAACACTTTATTATACGATGAATTTCCGCTCCAGACGAATAAGTTAGTACAAGACAATAACGGATCGCTGCTGTTCATGAAGCGGGACTAGCAACAAGGTCCAAACGCAGCGTCATCCATTTCTCTTCTATTGCTCGACTTTGCCTGGATCGATGATCTCAAGCAATAGACAAACTGCTCTGTATTTCCCACTTTTAGCCTCCGTATATAATTCTAACCTACTTGGGCACAGTAAAGCCATGTTATTTTGTTTTCGTTCAGTTTATCAGTGATCACGTGAGCACCCGCCAATGAATCAGCAGACCAGCTGATTGTGAAAATATTTCCGTCTATTCTGCCTACGGTCATTGAATGAACGGGTCAATTGTAGCCAGGTTTTAAAGTATGGGCTGTGCCTCCTGCGTAATAAAGGCATTGATTAGAAGTATGAATCACGCAAATGCAAACTAAACTGTGCCACACTGAAGGCATAATTTACAGCGGAAAAATAATAAAATAAGAAGTGAATTTGTCAGGGATTTAGAATAACAGCTTCAAACGAACATCCAAGCACGAGTTCTACACCTTCTACTAAGACTTCATTTCGGAAGCAGCTGTAGGTTATCTGAGGCTTGCTTGTAAAGCATAACTGCCCAGATGCTAGGGCATCTACTGACGGAGGTTTGATTGGTGAAATTTTGTCAATCGCTTACAAAAATTATGTGATCACAGGATGCTAGAGTTTTGGATATAGTGCTGACACAAAATGCGCATGAAAACCGTCCCTTAAAATCCTTCATAAGGCTTAGCTGGTCATTTAGTGTCCAGGCTACCCGATAAGGTTTGCTTTTCAGGGCCGCTGTATTCGGAAGATACCGTCAAGTGTACGGCACAATATATAGTTTCCAACACCATCTATCACACCGCTGTAACTCGTTGGAAGTTCCTACACTTCTGACCGTACACTGCACTGTCAATCCTATCAACTTCAATCCAGATTTACACTGATCCGTGAGCTACGGGGGAACAAACAAACTTTGGATGACTGCCCTCGATAGACCACAGTGAAAAACGTTTTCAGTTGTGAAAATTTGCGCATTCCAAACAAATACTTTCCTCAAATTCTCCGTCTTATGGGTAAACTTACTTTTGTTCCAGCTAACAGAATACACTGAGAATGAAACCAGAGTCCAGTGCTCACCACTGTGTGCTAAGGTAACCAGGAAAATCACGTTTCTGTATCACAGAATGGCCCAACTAAGCCTGTAGTATATTCTCTTTATTTGCTGGAAAGTGAAACATCCTCGGGTAAAGGTGGCTTATTTTATTCATGCCTTGGAGATAGGCGAGTACCCTTTCTCTCTCAAACGCTACCGAGCTCCTGTTCCTGTCGAACTCTCAAGCTCTCTGTCCAAGGATGAAGGTAAAATCCTTCTTCGGTGTTCATTTATGTGATTTATGTGCCTCCATCTGTGTGAGACAGTCCAAGTTAAATGAAATGTGGCGACGATAGTGCCCATTTTGAAAACGTATTCGAACTGAATGCGGCAACCGCTGAGGGATTAGCTTGACCTCCTGTTACAGCTGTTTTTCTCGTTAGTTCTTTTACTTTGTCTCACAAGGACGCCTGGAGACGGCCTTCGGTCAGAAACAGGTTGTGTGTATCAAATCTTCACACTTTGTCAAGCGTCCAAGCAAGGGCATGTGCATAGGGCCCTGTAAACTTGGTGTTTGCTGCTTCCAAAGACGTGTCCGACTCCTAGTTCGAAGCGAGATTTCTTGCGGCCCGTTTGTCCCTGTTCTGTTGTTCCTGGTAGTGATGATGAGGTATTCATATGTCACCTAAGAAATGTGAGTACGGACTGCCGTCAACTACGGTGCGTTCCACTGAGTCAAAATTTCCTAAGGAATGACAACTGCCAAGTGCTCAAAACGTATTCACATTGAAACTGACTCCTTTCGGTAGAGGAAATCACAAGCTCTTCAGGAAAAGTTACTTGGGGGTCATTCAGGCACTGAATACTTTCCTCGTAAGCTCAGGCGATCACTATTCCTCTATTAGCTTCATCTACTTTCTGGAATGATCTTTTTTGGTCATACATTCTAAATGGAAGCTTGTCTCAGGGAAGACCGGTTGCTGAAGAACATTTGTGTTGTTATTACGGAACATGCCAAATGGGGGAGAAATTTTTGCTCGACTGGATCTAAATTAGTATATCCACCGAATAGTCATGCCTAACACACAACAGACCTAAATTGGTAAGCTTCTGCACCACAACAGTCAAACTGGAGTTATTTCCATGTTAGGAATCGTTCAAATCCTCGGATCACAAAAGGAACGATGTTTTGTGAAAGTTGGGTAGATCTTTGTCCGGTTGAACGATACAGCCTGTTAGCTTGCGGTCTGTACTCATCGGTTTCCTGGATCCCTCTCAAACTCGGCGCACTGCATCTGTAAGAAATGACCTATTATAATTGTTCTCCAATGGGAAAATGTTCTCAATTTGGCTACACTCGCCATGCTGAAGCATCTTTGGGTCACATCTTTGGGCACTCATCGAGAGCTTCTACTTTATCAGTGCTATGCTACTCTTTCTGCCGCCGTTCATCAGTAATGCCTTCCTGTTAGTTTTATCAAAGTGATAGAGGTTTGGGCTTTTTCATTCTCTTTGTGTCGGCATTTCTTCCCGAATTTTGTTCCAGGTTGCTCTGATTCCGTTAGTACTGATGACGATTGGGATATATGGTACGTCCTAATCGAGTATGGTTATCCTTGTACCGTCTATCAGGAAAATAACCTCTGACAATACGAAGACCCCTACTCAAAATAGAATGCTTCCTGTAAGCTGAATAAAATAGGATTTGCTCCATATATTTTGCGTCAAAGGAACCCGGTTTGTATGCCCCACCTAGTATTACAAACAGCTTTTAGGTATACAATGGAATGAGAGGCCTCGTCTAGCGTGACAGGAACCTGAACTGGGATATTTCAGTGTGATTTTAGGCTGAGCTGGGCAATTTGGTTGCTAACGTTTCATCACCAATCGAGGTGACATCATCAGTGCGTAGTTGTACTTAGAGGTGGGTTAGTGGTTGTGCGTTCAGTAGTGTTACGTGTGTGTTGATATACGTGCTGGTAGCCGGGGATGACCTTTGACCGCGATTAGTTATTCTGTCGGGCGGTTCCATTGGTTGGAGTTCAGAAAAGTTTTCAAAGCCTTTGGCTTCAGCACCGGATCTTCTGTGGAACGGAACTGTTAAAGGCATGATCGGAAAGCTTTAAAGTCCAAGTTAAAAAAAATCATCCAGTTGGTTTCTTGACTTATGATGGTTATGCTAAGGCCTTCAGCTGTCTTTTTGATGATACAGGAGGGGATCAACCACCCAAATAGTACGTTTTCTCACTGTGAACGAATCCACCTGATAGACCTGTTGGTTGATATCGATCGGGAGAGCGGAGATAACACTGGTCAAGTTATTGGCCAGTCTGGTAGTTGAATTGTGCCTACAAATCCTCTCAGATGAGAGTCGAGTCGCGCGGCTCACATGGTGTACTGAACACCTATGTGTTTTACTTTGGAAAATCCATGTGATTGTCGTCAGGTCATGGAATTAAGAACTTTAAAATCATCCAGATGAGTTCTACTGTGAGCCACAAGATCATAAAGCATACACGGGGAATGTATTTCAACAAAAGCGGAAACACTGGTGACAATTAAATATTGGATATGAAGTGAGCTTTCTCAACGTGTTCCTTCTTGCGTTCCAGACCAGTCTACGATGTCACTAAACTTTTGGTCATCTCAGTTTGTTTTCTGACCAAGAGAGAATCCGTCGAGATACCGTTGCTTGTATCATCAAAAACCTTAACGCGAGTGTCAATAGGTGATTCAGAATCAATGCCATGGGGCCTGCATAGTCTTATACCTTCCCCTGAGAAGTAGATTATCTGTTTGACCAAACAGAAGCCCTTCCTAATGGCGACGTCACATGACTTTGTAGGTGAATGTTCAAATACAGCTAAATGGCATTTGCTATTTTGTGCTTCACGGGTACCAAATGAAGGCCTATTTAGGAGGAAAATGTCAAGAGTTCATATGAAGTGAGTGACTGGAAAAGCTGCTAGTACGTGGATTTAGAAAAGGTCAGAATAGGGACTTACGTGTATCTTGAAGACGCCTCACAAGCGTTGATCTCAAATAACAGGATGTATTTAGCCACCCGGAACTTAACTATTTGATATGCAAAATTAATTGAATTCAGGCGCTTTCTCATTTATTCATTGTATTGTAAAATGAACAAGATTCTAGCCCTAAAAAACACGCGGGTCAGTGCATGAATGAGGTAAGCACTTTGCACTCATGAGATTTCCGATGGCGCCACGGTCACATTGGGATCG